GTTCGGGGGAGTTTGCCTTTTTAGCCGGGGGGGCGGGGGGGCAAGAATCCCTGACCAGCTCATTTGGTCAGAAGCGCTGTGCCCCAGCAGCTCTGCAGTCCCAAGAACCGGTTTGCCCAGTGAGTCTGTGTGCGATGCATGTGTAGGAAAGTAAGCTTGCAGAATCCTAGGGGCAAGGCTCACAAGGCACGTGAAGTAGCTTCTTCCTAATGTCTTACTTCCCGAGGGAGTTAAGGCACAAGGAAAAGCTTTGCTGTAACTTCATCAACTCTGAGTAGGCAGGTGTAGGATAAGAGGATTGTAAGGGAACATCAAAGGGGCTGAGATGAAACATGTGGAAGCAAACACGGAGGAGCTATCAAGAGCTCTCAACCTCTGCCACGTAGACAGGGCTCGAAAATACACAGTTGTTTCCTATAACATCTGGCTTGGCCATTGTTCCAAAGAAAGAATGAAGAGCAGGAAGGCTCTGCAGAAGAAATTAATAGTTAGGAAATGTCAGTCTAATCCAACAAGCACACTTTATTGATGTATCTTTGCCTCATATGTCTTCTCAAACTAAGGGTCAAGCCAGACATCATGCAACAGCCTCATTTTGTCTATTCCCAGTTATACCCCATTCAAATTCTTCTGGGTCCTTTTGTGCTTTACAGCAGGCCAGCTTTCTCCCTTTGGCACCTCCCGTGCTTTCTTTTCCTGATTTGACTTAAAATAATAATGATATTCAGAGCACCAGCCTCCAGCATCACCTTTATTTCCAAGAACAGTCCCAGACTCCTCATAATTGATAGCTCCAGCTCAGTGGTGTGATTGTAAGTTTGTCTGATGACCCAGGAAAAGAGCAAAGGTTGTAGGGAAAGTTTAGTCAATAACATGCTGGTCAGTTGGGGCTTTATAAATGATTATGTTCCCCCTGGCAGCGCTTTAATGAACAGGCAAGACTTTTTCCACAGCTGTTTTCCAAAAGCACTCATGTTCTCAAAATTTAAAATATGTCATCCAGACTGAGATCTATGATGGAGGGCAATTTCTAATTCGAGAGGATCTCTGTGGAAGAGGAGCTGTATATGGCTTCTTTATTCACTTTACCCTGCCTTACCTGTTTATTTCTGCTAAAATTAGTTTGCTTTCGGTATTGGAAGGCCAGTCAGTGCCCTCTTAGGATGGAGAAAATGTAGGTTTTGTTTTAAAACGAGTGTGTAACACACAGCTACACACACACACACATACTTCAACTGTGACTATTCTTTTCACATCAGCTTGATCCTTGGAAGGTAAATATGTATAATAGGAAATGTCTAAAAATATTTGGATTGTAATTTAAAATCTTGTAGCATCATGAGGATTTCAGCAGGTGGCAGCACAGGAGTGTCCTTTCTGGGCTTCAAAAGAAATCAAAAAACTGTGCTGGAAGGAGGTTATGGCCAACCACTTCTGTACTGCTGCCAAGAAAACAACATGGATGTATCCATGAAGTCACAGATTTGAAGGAGGACTTTTTTCCCCCAGCACCTGAAAAATAACCATAAGTTATTTGGCAATGTCACGCTGTGCTGGTCAGTTTGCACTAAGTTCAGTATAAAAAAGGTAAAACCCCTTGGAACAGAGTTTTCGGCAATAGAGAGAGACAGAGGCACAGCTTGCCCTTTAATCAGCCAAGATAGGATCACCTAAAAAGCTAATATGCTGTTGAAATGTTATGCATTTGTCTAGGTCACGGATGGGAAACTTGAAGTTCTCCAGAAGGAGAATTCTCTGATATACAGTACAAACCCCAGGTCAATTTTGCATCTCTTCTGGAAACAGAACCTTTTTGATTCAATCTTTTTTTTCCCTTCATAAAGTCCAAGAAATTGTAGTCCGGAAGTAGCTTCCAATTCTACCCGAGACTTAGAATTACCTTTCAAAAAAGTGCATACGTATAGTAAATGGAAAAGACTACAAAGCACCCACCTTTTGCCTGCTCAGTTTCTCCTTCAGATCCTTCTGCAATCAATCGGTTACTGGTTCTGCATTATTATACCCTATACTGTATCTATCTAAACCTACATGTGTACACACGCTCACTTATACATACTTTCTCAAAACTATGCATTCGTGCACTTACATGAACATTCTTCTCTCTCCCTGCCAGATTGCTAGTGCTCTGCTGTCCCAAGAGATTGAAAATAAGTGAATATATATTTCCTGCAGGCACCAGTATTCCCCAAATCCCCAGCAGACCACCATATATTGCACCTTGTTTATTCAGACACTCGGTCTTGGAATATCTGTGCTCCTGATCCAGTTTCATAAAAGACAAAGGGTTCCTTGCAGACCTGCAAAGTGCTGCACGGCGTGCCTGGAAATCAGATAGGGACTCGAAAACTGTAGCTTAGTGTAAGAAAGTTCTGCCGCTTTTTTGCATTGCTATGGCTTCCTTCACTGTTTTTCTTATTCCATGTCCGGGTCAGAGTTTGCTTATTGCTGTGAGGGAAAGGGATGTCAAAATGAAGCTGCTTTGCTTTAAGCTTTGAACCTCTTCTCCCTTGGTTTGCTTTATGTCACACCTGTATCATTCTTCCAACCAGAGTTGCCCCCGGTAGTTTATAGGAGAGCAGTTAAGACTGAAAATAATCCCAAATCTTAAATAAGACCATTGCAATCAAACTAACAGTGCTTAATAACAATAAATACAAAAATAAATACAAGGTATGGTTTTTAAAACAGAAAAGCCCTTCCGCGTGGGCCCTTGTTACCTGTGGTCCTGTCTTCTTCAGGTGTATTCTGCTTATTTGCCCCATGAAAATGAAGAGGGTATGCTATGGGAGTGAAAGGCTGAAAGCAGGCCTTCTTGGTGATGGCCCCCAAGAGAGAGATTGTGGGGAGGCTGAGAAAGGAAAGGATGATAACACAGACCTAAACAATCAAGAGATAACAGAGACAAGTTAGTAGAGTCCTTGGGGTTATCTGAGCTCAGAGAACCCCAAGGACTCCACAGTTCAACCCTGAGCTACACATATTCACCTCTATTGGTACAAGTTAGTGGACGGCTTATCTCATAAACAGCAACTCAGCCCAAGGGGGGAAGAACCTGGGAAGAGGTGTTTCAAAGCATTCAGAGAGAGACTGCCTTACTTAACTCACTATGAGTAAGGTTGGGAAATTCCTACTACAGTTTCCAAAGTTCTGATTTTAGCATTAAAAATACCTTTCTGAAATCTGTGTAGTTCTTGTTTCCTTGGTCTTGTCTAGCTGTGTGGGGCTAGATCTTCCCCCTCACTCTGGAAGAGCTTGCCCTCAAAGTCCAGATGGCTCCCTCCTTATTAACATTCAGAAATATGACTTCTTCTTTGTAGAAAATGTGCTAGGTAGTTGGGGGTTCTTGTCCGTTGTGCTTAGTTTTTAGCTTGGCTATGGTATGGATATTTTTTAATGGGTTTTAATTTATAAACTATGGAAGATGTTTTTATAGATGTTTTTGAAGTATGTTTAGTTGTGAGACCAACCCAGAATCTTGGACATTGTGGCAGCATATATATTTTAGCATAGGCAAATAAAAGCAAAATAATAGGATTATTTTAAGGATAATCTTGCCATAAAGTATCTTTTGTTCCATTAACACCTGAATCAGCAGCCAATTTTTCAAGTGTTGTCTCAAAGAAGATAGCTGGCCAAACCCCCCTCAGGAGAGAAGTTGAAGTGCTACCAGCTAGGGTACTGCCACTGAGAAGGTCCTGCTCCTAATACTGTGCTATGAGACACAGACACACAGAGCTCAGACTCACAAGCAGAATATCCCCATGTAGAGTTTTATAGAGAAATATCAACATCTTCTAGTTTATTTTGCTTTGAATGGTTCATGCTAACCAAATAGAAATATATCACTACTTTTCTCCTCTTATAGGACTGAAAAAATGTCAGATGATAGAAGTGAGACGTTAACACAGGAGGAAAATGAACAGTCACCATCTGGCCAAAACATCTCAGCTTCTGACACAGTGATGCATAATGAAAAGACAGTGCAAGTATCACCACCAGATGATAAAAAGGAAGCTTCTGGAAGCTCCAGCAATGACTTGGAAGAGCAACAGCCATTGAATTTAGAATGTCCTTCAACTGAGCAACATTCTGGTGGAGAAACAGCTAAGACTGATGCAGATGAATGCAGTGAGTCTATAAGCCTTGAACCAGAAGCTGGACCTGGAGGGCTGAACAAAGAAAGTGACTTGGTAAGAAACATTCCGGTTAGAATTCTATGGTTCATTGATAGGTTAAGTTTCTTTATACATTTACTTGATCTATATCCTTCTTTTTGTTCAGGAGGTCAAGGCAGCATATATAATATTCCTCCTCCCATTTTTCCCCACAGCACCAACTCAACCCATTACAATGGGAGAAGGAAAAAGACTTCATGTAAAGTTGCCAATTTCAGTTTCAGGAACAGCTCTAGGCAACGTGTATTCATTTTTAATCTATCTATGTTCTTTTCAGTGTTTTGTCTTATGTTATCATGTTGCAAAAAATGTGATGTCTGGCTGAAATTTCTTATCACAAATTCATCTTGTCTGGCATTCATAGGCACCCAGGAACAGGTGACACTAAGGAACAGGTGACAAAGCATGCCATGTTGTCATAATGCAAACCAAGCCTTTCGTACATGTGACATTGAACACATACACAAGTTCTGTGGTTTGCATTGTGATGTGATGCACTTTTTGTCACTAGCTCCCCCTCGTCCCAACCCTTGCAAATAAATGCCTGTCTACTTTCTAATAGCCTCACTCCCATGTCTCTACCTTCAGAGACAAAAATGCAGATACAGCCTATTGTTGTGCATGGCCATTGTTGAACAGGGTTGCTTATCTGAACATAGTTCTAATTGTAGACAATGTATATAGCTGAAAGTTCAACTGTGGGGTTCTTGATGTCAACCAGCAAACTTCACTCTCCCTTCACTGATGATGCTACCTAGCCTGGCACTGAAACGTCTTCAGAAAAGCAATCAAGCTCAGAGAACATCAAGAACCCAACAAACATAATTCATAATAGAATCAAGAAACTATGTTTTTGTCCATGTCCATGTATCCAACATTCTTCTAAAATTAGGTAACTTGGTTTCTGTGAAGATAAAATTGTTTGGATATGCACAATGATGTTTCTTTGGATTGACAGTCTCAATTTTATATTATTCATACCCAGGGGAAAGATATATCATAAATTGTCCCCCCAATCCCTCATTTTTCTCGATGCCTTCCTATATTGTTGCCACATTTTCTACTGTGTTCACAAGGACTTTATCCTGGAAAATTAGAGTACCTATACTCTGGACCAAAGATGGATGGTAAAAGTTGGCTTTCGTGTATAAGATGAAATATAAAAGTGTTAAAAGTTGCATACAACTAAGAGTTTGTCAAAAGGTGGAAGGCAGACCTGGAACTATCATAATTATTTTGAATTTCTGTAATAAATAATACACTTAGAGTAGCAGTTTTGGGTCAGCAAAATGTAATCAATTTTCAATTTTGATTGCATGCAGCTAATTCTTCATATTAGAACGTTGGCTGTAATACCACATGATTGATTTTAGATGAAAAATATATAAACTGAGGCCTGCAGGAGATTATTCGTTCACTCTATCTGACATGGGACAAAGAGAATCAGGCAAATATATCATTAATGCATTCGCTTCTTTTGAGACCAAAACATCCAACAGTATTAAAATCAAATTATATATAAAAGTGAGGAAAGGTCTTTTAAGAAGGCAGGAGGCACATCATCCATTTAAATATGCTTTTTAGAGTTTTTCTGACTTCAAAGTATGCTATTATGATTGATCTGTCTAGGAGTACTTGTGAATTGCAGAAGTTCTGGAGAAAAATCTCATTAGCAGCACTGGGGCTGCTCTTTCTAAGAATTGGCTGCTTTCAATAAATGCTGCAGCCTCCTTGCAAAAAATACGTAATCAGAAAACTCCCATCTATATGAGGTGCTTGGCAATTTCCCTTGTTAACTCTTGGTTTTTCACTGCAAGAGAAGAACCCCAAAAGTCATTAGGCTGTGGTGGGTATAAATCTAATAAATAGACATAAATTTCAGTTTTTAATAATAAGTGGAAGGTGTACATGAAAGAGAGAAAACTCCCCTCTCTTAATAGTTAAGAAAGGAAGACCCTTAATTAGTAGTACTTGCATTTTTCCAGAATGGAGGTTCTGACTTCTTGTATGAAGCTGTATTTTGTATCTGATTAAACAGATTGCCATGTACAACAACTTAATCCTTAATATATTTATCTAATATTACAATATTTTATATTTCTATGCTGGGAAAGATTTGCAAATATTTTAGAAATCTCTCTAAATTGGGCTCTTAGAAAAAAGGCAAATTCCATTCTGGAGAACAGTAGGCAGGGGACTGAAAATAAAACTGCCTACAGTGTCATGCTCTTCAATCCACCCATGACATGTCTACTTCGTCTCCTGCTTGGGAGCAACCCAGAGGCTCACAAAATGCTGGTCTCCTGTGTGGAGGGGCTGGTAAAAATGTGCCACAGAGGATCGGATGTTCTTTTCAACCCTGCAAATTCTTCTCTTGTTCAGAATTAAAATCTAAAACAAAGAAGAATTGCCAACTCGCTTCTTGTCCATCCTCTCTGCTTACCTTCTGTTCCCCAAAATACCCTCCTTGCTAGCTTTTTACCCTGTGAATGATACAGGAGTAGCAATATTGTGTGATTGTGTGGCCGTTTCATATTTCTTTCAGCATTCCTCAAGGAAAGGCAAAGTACCCCTCAGGAAGGATCCATGCTCCAAAGGCATGTCTTGTCATTCTTCTTGGTGAAGAGTGACAATTTTCTTTTCCCCATCCTTATCTGGTGTTTCTACCAACAGATAGATAGTGTGTTTTGGAGAATGATGAGTAGAGAACTTTTCCCCAGGTTTTGTAGAAAGAACTCCTACTCAGAGGTGATTGCGGAACAAGCTGCCTCTTGATATTTCAACATGCGTAAAATTCGAATCACTCCAGTCTAACAAACTTAATTTCAGTCAATGATCAGCCTAAACAAGAACAAGCAAGCAAGCAAATAAAAAGAAAGCAGAAAGCACCAGATCAATATGACTTCTGAAATGTAAGTGGAGTATAATATGACAAGGTATTATTAACACTAGAATTATAACCCTAAAAGTAAAACTGATTCTTAGAATCTAAACATATTAACAGTAACACTATAAAGCTGGAACTAACACAAATGATCAGAGGAGGAATATGAAGTCTCCATGTCTCTGTCCACAGCACTAATGCCTTTTGTCATCGGTGTTTTTATTTTATTTTTAGTTAGTGACTAAGAACAATAAACAGTATTACAACATAGGAGAAGCAACTCATGACTAGTTTTGCAGGCAGCATGACAACATTTGGTGATGTCCAAGGAAATGACCTTTATCTGATCGGATAAAAGAATTGACATATAATTCAGTATGACCTGGATATTCTACCAAATAAAGATGTATAAAATGGGCTCTATAATATAAAATAAGCAAAGCAGAGAGACTGCAGATTCTGTAGCTCCTTTGCTGTATGAATGTAATTGGGCAGCAGAGGGATTATTTTTATATCTGCCTTCCAGTACGATTGACAGCAAGGCGTTAAATTGAGCTAATACTAAAGCTCTTCTTGATTTAGAACCTATGATAAAGTTTAAGCATCTCTCAGGCCTGAGACTGGCTACTCTGAGAAGGCAAAATGGATCTATTGTCCTTCCATCTCCAGAACATGTTGGGTCAGTATCTGCTTAGCTTGCTCATACCCCCCAAACAAAAGATCTTCCTGAGAGAAATCACAAAAATGTAGCTTTTCTAATAAAAACCTCTTCCACCTAGCCCTGAAGTTATGTACTTGTGTTAGACAACTCAGTCCTGTGAATAAGAATATTAACTTTAACCATACACAGACAAAAAGAGCCAAATCTTAGATGCAGTTTCAATCATTCTGGCTCCACAACAGATGACAACACTGGAAATACTGTAAGGGATTGATTGATTGATTATGTGCCATCAAGTCATTTTCAACTCCTAGCGACCACATAGATTTTCTCCATGACGATCTATCCCTAATTTGGTCGTTCAGGTCTTCCAAAGGTGCACTCATTGCCATTGTAACTGAGCACTGTATGAGACTTGGAAGGTATTTCTTTAAAATATTGATTATATAGTTTCTAATTTAAAATAGTTATTACTGCTCCAATAGAAGAGAATATATGTAGCTCAGGGTTGAACTGTGGTGCTCTCTGACCTTGGCACCATGGACTCCACAGTTATTACTGTATAGGGCCCCATGCTGCATATATTTTTATCATTTGTTTCTTCCAATCTTTTACAAATACAAGTGGTTTTCTATTTCTGTAATGCTGTTTTTTTTTTTTTTTACAGGATTCAGTATCCAAAGGAAAAGGATGGACCACTTGGGGTTCCTGGGGCAAGTCCCTTTTTTCAACTGCATCTGCTACAGTTGTTAAGTATCCAAACCCATAAAGTTTTTGTTTATCTATGCATTATCTAAACATAGTTAGGCATAAAAATATTATTTCTCTATGATTAGAATCAGTCCTTGGCTTAGAGTACATTGACAACAGGACATACCGTAAAAGACTTCTAAAATGATTTTAGGCCACAATGAGAGTTGTAACAAGGCTGCGGTTGCTTAACCCTTTTCCCATTCACTCATTTCTGAACAATCCCACCAACTCAGCCATTTCTCCTTCTCCAAGATTCCATGTCTGCAAAATAAACAGAGGTCTAAAGGTCTGCGCACTACATTGTAGAAAGAGTTTCTACTTTTCTTCCAATCCCAGAAGGATTTTGCAAGGGAAGCTCAAGCCATGTACTGTATGTGCTGGTAATGCTTTAGAGAGAATTATGGAAATTTGAAATTTTGGAAATATGGGATTTAATTCCTGGAATAAGAAATATTAATTTGGCCATTCTGGTCGTCCTCCTGCAATTAGTGTTCTATAATGCATGATTAAACTATGAGGTGAAGTATTTGTGTGTTTGCTAATTACATATTGATTTGCATGTGTATATTATCAGCAGCTAAGAAAAATATTACCAAAAGACGGATCCTCTGGGAAACAAATGACTAAAACTACTATTCGTTTTTCTTTCCAAAGTGTACTAAAATATTGGAAATCATTCAGGAATATGACATTCTTATCTGGTAGTTGTTTTTACTTAATGAAGTTCAAAAATCAGATCAGTGCTGTTAATAAAAACATTATGGACTTGCTATAATTAATCTGAAGGAATTAAAATCCATGATGACTTTGGATTCCCAAAGTTGGCAAAAGAAGTGGTTACTAAAGTGGCATTATTTGTAGATAATTCAAAGTCAGTTCAAGATGATTAAATTAGGTTTTCCTAATACTGGAAACAAGAGTGAAAGGTGAAAAATAATGTTTGGTTCCAAATTAAGTGAAGCAAAAATGGAGCCGAAATCAGAGGAGTAAACTGTTGTGTCATTGAAATGCAGTTCCATTTTGATGGGAACTTAATATGCTTTACCGTTTCATCAGCTGCTTGGACAGCTCATCAGAGCCAAAGGGCCAGGTATAAATCAAATCACTCAATAAATGTTGCATATTGGAACGCTCAAAATGCATTAACGATTGGAGTGCTCAAAATGCTTTGCCAGGGTGTAATCTCTGTGAAATCCCGTTAAACGAAGGCCAACATTATCTCTTATTGCAGACGGGTTCGTGGTGGCTGAGGCCAAAAGAAAACCAAGATGCTCTCAGCAACTTTCACTGATAAAACTGGCCCCCCAATAGCCGTCTTACTGATTCAATTTCTCATAGAGTTTCAGGGTCAAGTCAATGCAGAGCAGTTTCCTATAAAATATATTTGTTCCACTGCAGGTCAAGGATTAACAGCAGTTAAAGAAAAAGCAGCCATTCTACGAATTCATGCCCCTTCATCCGGATCTTCAGATGGTGGACATCCTGACACGCATGAAAACATAATCACAGGTCCTAAGTGATGCATTGTCTTTCTCAGCCTATATTCTTCATGAAACTCTTGTTTTCATAGTGCACGTATGACACTGGCAAGCAGATCCTTACTGGATTTTTCAATTGGTTTCTCTCTTCAAGATGTGGAAGAGGCTTCACAGCAGACCTCTGAAGAGAACATGCCTTTATCATCATCTCCTTCAGGATCCCGGGGAATGTTTTCAACCATCACTAGCGCTGTGCAGAACACAGTAAGGATTTCTAGGGATAAAACAAGAGGAAGGAAATGTTGCCCCGAATAGCATAGGATGTGTGATGCTGCAGATACTATTTCGACTGAACTCTAATTCCTAGGATCTGTTTTTAATAGTATAACTCTTGCATAAGCCTTAGAGAAGCAGACATGCATCTTACTGGAAATAATTATCTTGGATTGCATTCGTATGATATTTTTAGCCCATTGAAAGTTGTGTCCTTTTGCTGTGCCGAAGGCTTGTGCGTGCGTATGGGCGTACAGTTTGTAGGAAAGTATCTTCTCTGTCTTTCAGGAGTTCAAATATTTTATAGGGTATGAAGTATATTCCTCCTTGGCAACTAGGGTTGTTAAATTCTTCAAGACAGTAATTATAGGCTTTTGAAAATATTAATTAACTAATTGCCTGCAGGAAAGATTTTTAAAAATTTAAATTGCTGTAAAAGGATTTGTAGGAATGGGATTGAAATTCAGAGGGCCGGAAAGAGTTAACTGTTCTGTTTCACAGTCCTCCTTTACATACACACACACACACACACACTTATC